ATCTACATTGCAGTGGTTCTCTTTTCTCTGCCATGGTGTTTGAGTGTCCCTCAGTCCTGCTCTTTGACTGCTCTGCGCTCGGTGAGTGGATAGTCAGAAGGCAGGAAGCCCATTAGATTGCCAGCTCCTTTCTGGGAACTATGTTGGCCAACAGCGGCGCTCTGAGTCTCCGATGCAGAACTGCAAGAAGCATCTTAAAGAAATAACTTCACCTTTTTCTATTTTGCTGATGATTTTATATGGTTAGGAAGGACTGACTGCTTCTCTAGATTGCTAAGTAATATCTGTTTCTTGTGTCCTTTTTCAATATTAGAAGCAATAATTTATCTGACAGAAAATTTCAGAAAGTAAAATCTTTCCACAACTTTTTCCTGTATCATTCATAAGTTTTCTGCAATCCGTAATTGGGAGAACCCTTTATTAGTATGTTCCACTGACAGAAAAGCAAAGTGTTTTCAAGTTTCTGAATGCTCCAGAAAGAGAGCAAGAAGTGAGAAAAGGGGTTACAATACACTCCAAATCCACACTGTGCAATACACAGAAAAGTGGAGCTGAGTAAAAAGCATGGTGGTGTTGTGGCAATAAATGCATGATTTCTTTGAAGCTGAATCTTTAAATATATACTGTAAATGGATATGTGTGGTATCAGAAATCTACTTATAAATATGCAAGTCTTTGAGATACATATATTCCCTGTGTGAGGAATATGTTTAAAATAAACTTTTGAAAATATATAGTATGGCTCCCAGAAGGGTTTGGCATCATGATAAAGAATAGAATTACTCAGGTTTTTCTGCATACCTTCAATAGAACAAAAGTTACACCCTTCAAGCAAAAATGCCCAGTCAAAGGCAGAATAACAATAACAATAACAATAACAATAACAATAACTATGATGATGATGATGATGATGATGATGATGATGGAAGGGACCTTAGAGGTCATCTAGTCCAACCCCCTGCTCAGGCAGGAAACCCTATAAGATTTCAGACAAATGGCTGTCCAGTCAAATTTTTCTATTTGTCTAGTTACTTCCTTCGGCATTCTCGTATAGTTGGGAGGATAGTCAAGGGTTTGAAATTTTTAACAAATTCTTTTGATTTTTTTTAAAGATTCTTCAAAGAGATCACTTAAGTGCCTAACTCTCTTCTACGCATTGTTACAATGATGTACAAGAAATAAAAGTTTATTCACTTCTTCTGGAAGATAACAGCTATTTACTGAAGGCTGAAATTGAAAAGTACATTCAAAGAATATTTAAAGCTAGGTCCTATACAGGCCAACAAAGACTTAATCCTTTCAAAAGTTATTGCTAAATTGTCATTTTTAATGCGATAGGGTGGAGAGTAATAATATTAACCATATGTAATTAACATAATTTTTATGACAACCAAATTTAAATCTAATTTGGTTTTGCTTCACTTTGCCTCCTTTTTGAAAATTGCCCTGTGACTTGCCTTCCAAAGGTGAGACACAGAGCTCAGCTCGGAAATGCTGGCCCCACCTTGGTTTGTCTGGATTGCATAGGGCAGGAGTGTCAAACTGCCAGCCCGTGGGCCAGTTTCATCATACCGAAGCCACACCCACCCCATTGCCGGCAATGCAAAAAGAGTCACGATACCTCGCGACACATCACGTGACGTGGCGACTTTGACACCCGTGGTATAGGGTCTCCTGCTCAAGCAGGGGGTTGACTAGAAGACCACCAAGGTCACTTCTAACCATTATTTTTTATTCTGAAGAGTTGGAATTCCAATATTTAATTCTTTATGGATCATGCTACCAAAGTCTCTTTGTTGCAACTTCACAAAAAGAGCAACTGTGCTAATTTAAATCCATCTGAGTATGAAATCTTGAATGTTCACACTTTTAATGCCCTGTTGTAATTTTATGATCAACTAATATAGGTTTCTCCTGTTTCTCAGTCTACAGTTTCATGTCATTAAAAATTGACACTTCATTTGCAGTTTTTGTGGGAACACTTCAAAAAATTTCTTGTCATTTTCTCCTTCTCGATATTTTCACCATCCCTGTAAAGCCTGCAGCTGTATGATATGCTGGGAGTCTTCCATCCAAGTATTAATCTAATCTTGCTTTGCTTTTGAGGGATCAGTCAAGCTCAACCAAGATTAACTTGATAAATGCTGCCACTTAGGCTTTTGATGATGCTATTAGTGCTCTGCTGAATATTTTTTACTATTTTTATTGACTATGGTCATTCAACCTGATAAAAGAGAATTTGCTGGCTTTTGAAATTTATTTAAAATAAGAGAATTCCACAGAAATTCTTATTGGTGGAATACAATGTTTCATATTCATTTAATTACAAGATGCTCACAAAGTGTAAAGTCTGATTATTCAACAATCATTTCTGAATGAAGTGTGAATAAACAAGTGTGATATGGTAACAAAAAGACAACTAAAAGTATGAAGAGAAATAAAAAGTTTATCCTTAGTTGTATATTTAGTGCCTGGTTTTGTGACTTTAGGTAATTAGCAACAATTATAAGAATGTAACATTAAGATGAGAAGGAAAATAATAGTACTTTTCAAATCCTTGAAAGAATGTAATATAGAACAGAAAGTCAAGATCTTTTCTCTGTCACACGGTAACAAGTTTTAAGAAGGCGCTTACAAGTGGATTTTAGAAGGAACCTATCAACAGTATCAGTGGTTTGATAGTGGAACCAATTATACAGAGATATGGTTGGTGCCCTTTTCTTGACTAAGATTAGATATTAGATTAACTATGGTGGCCAAATTGTGATTTTGTGATCTTGGATTTAGAAATTTTTTGCTTCTATTATCATAAATCATGGCTACACACCTACTAACTTTGGATGAGTGGTACACTTTTGAAGGGAATATCAACAGGACCTTCAATTTAAAAAATCCATTTAATCCAACCTGTAGTTCTTTTACGTTTATTCACATATAAATTACTTCTCTTAGATGCTGAGGTATAATCACTATCCACATCCAGTATATAGCTTAAAGAAATGATACTTGCAACAAAGAAAACATCCAGAAAGTAGTACTACTTGAGCACTTAGGGATTTCTCAAACTCAAATTAATTAACATAGATTTCAGTAAATGCGAAATATTTATATGATCTGAAGAGAAACCAGACTATATAGATCAGGGGTGTCAAACTGTTGCCCTACAGGCCGGATGCATCATTGTGAAACCGTGCCCACCCCATTGCCAGCAATGGAAAAAAGTCACGATACATTGCGACACGTCACGTGATGTTGCGAGCTTGATACTCATGATATAGATTATTGAAGAGTTGTTTATCCATATAATGGAGGAACACTTAATATAAAGGCAAAAACAAATTATTACCAGGGGAATCTCTTTGATTCAGTAATATTTTCATACCATAAAAAGCAAATGTACTATATACTCTTATTGAAACACTTGTCATGTAATATTAGATAAGTGTGTATGAGACTAAAAAGTGAATACTTTCAGACAGAGAACTGATTACCTAATATCAGTCAAACATTGATGTCTAAGTGAAAAGTACTATATCTCTTGGTATTGGCATAATCATAAAATCATTATGCGATAAGGGAATTAGCATATTTCCTTCAGCATAATTCAGGACATCTTTGCAAGAATAATTCAAATAGTATCTGAGAATAATGTTAAAAAGAGCATAACCTCCCCTCCCCCTTTAAAAACTATCATTTCAATAAGCGCAAAGAGTACAACGTAAGTAAAACCTAAGTAAAATAGGGCCATACATAAATTAAGGCCAGTTTAAAATCTTCAAATTCATGGAAAAGTCATTACCTAGACATGAGAAATTTCTTTTAATACAAAATACTATTAAAAGGGGAACTTATCTTGCTATTGCTCTCAGTTGGACAATTCAGATTAATTATCCCACATTCTGAGAAAGGGCATGTTTAAATTGCTTGCCAGAAGAAATATTACCAAATATCTAATTCATTAGGTTTATCTTGGGAAGTCCTCTATAGCCTAATCAGGCAGCCAAAATGATAAACTCAGTGATACTGAATATAGAATGGCAAACTAACTCTACCTCCTTTCCTAAGCATTTTCTCTTAAACATCTCTGTCCCTATGTGGAAACTAGCAAGCTATATGAAATATATAACCTTACCTATATTTAGCAGCTTTGTCATGCTGGCCCATTTGTGATGACTACTGCTCTCTTGGAAGCAAAATTCAGAAGAATCCCTTATAATGACCAATACTTGGGGATCAAACACAGTGGAATCCCTAAGCCAGGGGTTCCCAACCCCCGGTCTGTGGACCAGTACCGGGGCATGGCATGCCAGCAACCAGTCTGCACAAACAAGGAAAGCCCCATCCGCGAGATGCAGGCAGCACACAAAACCACGCATCCTCCGGTCCGTGGAAAAACCTCTCTCCACGGAACCGGTCCCTGGTTCCCAAAAGATTGGGGACCTCTGCCCTAAGCCATGCTTTATCATATTGCCTCTTGTACAGAGATATTAGGAATAGATTTATTGTATTTCTTTTAGTGGACTAATCAAGATGCATGGATTTTTTTTATGTTCAACTACTGCTGGCTGAATAATATAATCTTACATCTCCAGGAGTGGACAGATTCTTCTTTGCTACTGGAAATTGAGAAGCAAATGTAAAACCAGAACCAAACTGCAACATGGGTAAAAAAAAAGCAGCTTCTTTCTCTCTTTTCCTTTCTTTTTAATAGATATATTTTTTTCTGTATTTTGCACTATAAATAACATAAATGATTTTTTTTTAAAAAAAATGAATGTTACCGATCAGAATGATAAAAAAAGAGAATGGAATTAGCTTCTGAATAACAGGTGTATTCTAGGGGATAGATCTATGGAGTTTGCATTTAATTGATATTTACCTTTCCGTTATTTTCCACTTGAGGATGCAAACTGCTTTCTCCATCGCTTGAAAGAGGGACCTCAGTTTTTTCACCACAAAGCATATTCTCTGCAATATGAATGTTTGGTGCCAGGAAGGTAAATTCATTCTTCCTGGATTCTGAGGAGAGGCAAAGCTGGTAGGAATAAGGCAGAGTCCCATCTTGAAAATTGGGTGGAAATATGACCCCAGCTGTGGAATGGGAAACGGGAGCAAAACATGGTAGGAAACTGGAATTTCCTGACTGCCGGAGTTTGATGGCAATGGCCAGAATCACTGACAAGAGGAATAAAAAGGACATCACAGCTAAGGCCACCACCAAATAGAACTGCAGGTCCGACTGATCCTCTGAGCTGTTCATCTGGTTTTTCATCTCCGGAAGGGCCTCCTGGAAGTTCTCAGCAAACACCAGGTTCAGAGTGACAGAGGCCGAGAGGGGCGGCCGTCCATTATCCTTCACCAGAAGGACCAGTCTCTGTTTCACGGCATCTCTCTCCATAAAGGTTCTTGCTGTCCTGATCTCACCCGTATGGGAGCCAACAGTGAAGAGGGC